ATCTCGGTTCCATGGTAAGAAGAGAAATTCCAATCACATGTGAATATTGGAGAGAAAGAGTGTTGGACGACGCTAAAGATAAAATATGGAGTGAGATACAGGTACCATATGTGATGTTAATTGTTTTTAATGACGATTGTGTCTCTAAATTACTTATACTAATGTACTTTGTTTATGATTTTCGTAGAGGTCGTTCATCATTGAGGATACAAGGAGAGATTATATTCTTAAATTGGCCGGGAAACTACATAGAGGGTTTAGAGCTTTCTTGTCAAACAAGTTCTAAGGGATGCAGATAAATTTTTTGTTGATGCAGAGCTTCCAAGGAAATATGCTGATTTGATTACATCTGAAGAATGGGAAACTTTTAAATCGAAAAGAAGTACCCAAAAATTTGAGAGCTTAAGTGTCGTAAATCGACAACAAGCATCAAGTCCAGCATATCCATGCAGAAAAGGCCGTATGGGATATGCATGATTACAACAATCTATTGTAAGTATCTATAAATTGCAAAGTATCTATAATATATACACGCTTATATTTAATCATGTTTTTTGGCTTAATGTGTAGCTAACAAAAGAGAATAGTTCTGAAACATCTCTTTTGGAACACATTTTATGGAAGGAACCACGTGTGTGTAAGGATGTAGCTGTTGAAGAAAAAGTTCAACAAATTTTCGAGAGATGTGTAAGTATAACATTATTTATTTAATTACATCATACTTTTATTTATTTAATTACATCATTCTTTTATTAACATATCATTCTTTAATTACAATATTTATATGAATTTCAGGAGAGTCTTTCCCTGTCTATACCTCTAGACGAAGATAATGATTGCAGGAGAATACTCTCACGAGCATTAGATATTCATGAGTATTCTGGTCGGGTGAGGGGTAAGGGATATGGGATCACTCCAACATCCTTGAAAAAAAAACAAAGACAAAATCTCCAAGCAATAAATAACTGCAGGAGAAGTTGGAAAAGTTACAACAAGAAGTCTATGAGCTGAGAAAGGAAAATGAAATCGATCAAGCTACAGGCTTTAAAGATACTAGTGACAAAACTAGTATCAATGGTAACTTTGAACAAAATATTCCTGAGGTAATTATATACTATCTTTATAAATTATAAAACCATGTTTATTAATTATATAACCATGTTTATTAATTATATAACCATATTTATTAAATTATAGGGCATTTCCCGGTGTCAAAGCTAGTTGTTGACACCGACTTATCGAATGGTTGACAAGGGAAAAGTGTATAATATTTCGGGAGAAATGCTTCACCATAGACCGCTCCCAGAGGGATTTTTGAAGGTATCGGTGGATGTCGTTTTAGAGGGGGTGCGTTGTTACCACTATCTGACGATGTGGCGGATGCAACATTGGTGGCGGATGTAATCTGATCGTTTGTTGCATGGCCGTCATGCCTCGTTTGCATAGATAATGAGGTATGCTTAAAATCGTTTACTATTCAAATTTTTTATGGCAATTATACTTACATTTTGTTTACATGGTAATATTAGGCTCCCACAAAATCCATTCCAAAAGATAAGGGGATTAGGCGGGATACCGAGTCAATTGCATCATTTGAGGTAACACAATTATATGACATTTATGCTATGAGAAATGCTAATTTGTGATTTTATACTTCCCCTAAATAATTATATGATAAGTAGATTCATGCTAAAGAGACTGCATAACTCAGTAGGGGTAAGGCGCCTGAAATTAGCAACATTTCCACACAAAAAAAGAATGTTGCTAAGAAGACTGTGGCACACAAAAAACTACTGCTCAGTTCAAGTCGTGCCTTCGGACATATTTAGGAATTACAAGATATTCCATATGGTGGTACCCGCCTTATACCTATGAGTGCATACATCTTTGGTTTTGAATATCTTGAAGCAATTGGTAGAGAGGATATGGAGCAAGTTTTTAGGCATTTGGAATTAGGCCTCGGTGTTATCGATATATATATCAGGTATACTCCGATCAACTTTGTTTAATTAAATGAACAATTTAATCCCTCATTTAAATGAATATAGTATAATGTTAATCATATTTTAATTTAAGGTTTATGTATGACAACATTGTGTGCCCGCATGGATTAGAAGTAAGATTTGGCTTCTTAGCTCCCAACACTGTCAATTCCGGGTTGATTGTAACGAGACTAGATGATGTCATATCATATGTACTAGGTTTATTCGTGGCCAGTAAAGATACTGAGAAGTTGTTCTTTTTGCCATATAATACTGGCAACGGGTTATATTTTCATCCTAACTTGATCTATTATAATTTTCCGTTTTTGGCCATTGTTTAATCTTTGTTTAATCTTACAGTGGACACTGGTTATTGATTGCGATTAATCCTATGAGAGAAACTGTGTATTATCTGGACTCATTATACAATGATTGGTCAACATATCCAGATTTGAAATAGATGATTGACACGTAAGTGTTTCGCTCCCAAAGAGATATTCAAGTTTATGTTTATGTTTATATTTATGTTTGTGGTCAACATATCTGGATTTGTGTTTATGTTTATGATTCTATGTGAGATTGTTCTAAATAGTCGTTTATATTTTATTATAGCGTTCTACTTGTTTTTTGCTCCCAACGAGATATTAAAGTACCAAAAAGTAGAGCCAACAACGTTACATGGATCAAAGTGGAGGTATATTTTCACAAAGAGATATTCAATTTTGCTTACTTTAGTGATGATACTTGATAAAACAATTTAAGGGGTATATCCTGATATATATTTGTATTTTCTTTCCATGTGTAGTGTCCTCGCCAGCGTAACGGTATAGATTGTGGCTATTTTATGTTGAGGTTTATGAAAGAAACTATTCTTTTGGATCGATTAGAGATTCCATCCACAATATGGATTTCTAACTTAGGAATTACATACTATTTTCATATTTTGTGTTTCTCATAAAATGACATATTGTTTTAACTAAATCACATACTATGATATATTATTATATATGTAGTACTTTGAGGAATTCAATTGTGCACATTACTCAAAAGATCAATTGGATGAACTTATGGAGGAATGATGTCAATTCATTATCGGGTTGAGAATTTTATAAGCTAAGGTATATTGTCTTATTTCCTTTGATGAGAACTTTCGAGTTTTAAGTATAAATTAAATTCGAATAAAGTGCAACGTTAATATTATCATGTTATGAATTTCGATCATTTGTTTTTTTTCATGGTTTATAGGTACATGGTAGAAGATAGAGCTAAAATATTCAAGTTGTTGTTGTTTCATGAGAATTCTCGAAGATAGAAAGATGTATAGATGTAAATTCAATTTTGAATAATTTAGGCATTTTAACTTGTAGAATTTTAACTTGTATCATGAATTTTATAATTGTTGTTGTCTATATCATCAATTTATATATATGTGCAATTTTTATATATGTATATTTTATTGGAATGAAGCTACCAAATATGGTGCATAAAAGATAATTTTGAAAACTTGGATCAAAATATTGGAATGAAGCTACAAAATATGATAAAAATTCTGATTAAAATAGATAATTTATTTTAAAAAAAAATTGTGAACAATAGACAGCGCTTTAGGAGAAAAGCGCTGTAAAAACTTTAAAAAAAACGCTGCCTAAAGTGGGGGAATAGACAACGCTTTCAAAGGAAAGCGCTGTCTAAAGCCTATTTGAAAAAAATTATAAAGCGCTGTCTAAAGTCCAAGCGCTGCTAAAGGGGTATATTAAAAAGCGCTGTTTATTCTAAAAGCGCTGTCTAAAGTGGACATAAGGCAGTGCTTTTACATTGAAAAAAAACACTGTCTTTTCTTTTAGCAGCACTGCTTTAGGCAGCGCTTTAAAGCGCTGTTAAAGGCAAAAAAAAACGTTGTCTTTTCCCTTATTTGTAGTAGTGACTGTTGTTATAGAGTTGTAATTCTCTATTATTCATTCTTAAGCTTTTAAGTATAGAATGGTTATTGTTCTTGGAGGAAGCTTATAAACAACTCTAAGTATTGTTCTTGGTCAAGAGTCTTGGCTAAGTTGTGTGTCTTTGAAGAGTGCCTTCTAAAGTTGTTATTGTTGTGTTATTGAGTTGATATCACCGCGGTGATAGGGAGTGAGTGGGTATGCTCATATCTAGGAGTTCCTAGGTAAAAGTTACACTGGATAGGGATTAAGTGATAAGTTGTAAACGAGAGAGTTTAGCTTTGAATTGATATTACTGATGTATATTTAGCTTGTCATTATATGTGTCGACATCTCTTAAGATATGTGTGATCTGATATACCAAAATTTCTTATATGTTTTGATCATAAAACCATTTAAGTCATAACTTTGATTGCCGAATAATGGCTTGATCATTTTCCTTACCATTCACACAAATTTTCAAAAATTGTCATAACATATAAAACTCTGGCGGTGCAAATATGATCGCCATTAGTCATTGAATTGAACTCATTTTTCAAAACTCTAGTCCCACCTAATCTTATTCAAAGGAATATATTCACTAAGACAAAGGAGTAGGTGAAAGGATACATAATTAAGAAAAGTAGTGGAAAACAACAAAGTATTACATATTGCAATTTGCATATATACTTCATCCATTACGAAGCATGAACTACTACTAGCTTTGAATTTTCAAATGAAAAGGTAAATCCATCAATTATAAATATAAATTTACTAATGTATGTGACTAAATTTCACGTCTTTGTTTTTCATATTATTTTAGGATCTGTACAATCTTGTACGTTGTACCAGATCTTCACTAGTTATGTTGAAAATAATACATATTTGGCATTTATTATTATTGATCGTGTCGGTGTGTTTAAAATGTTATCATGATGCAACTTGTCCTTGCGAATTCATTGACTTTTGGTGCAAGAGAGTGCCAAGTCATTACCGATAAGATTGAGACATGCAGCTGTGAGTGGAATCAGTAAGACCATGATTAGTATAAAAGCAGGTAGTCACTCTTGTGTTTTATGCATCAAACTCAAAAGTTTCTAACATGGCTTCCTTAAGCTTCCTACTCTTGCTTCTTCTTGCTCTTATCATTCCTCAGGGGTTTGCCAACTATGACAAACCGCCTGTTTACAATCCACCGATTGAGAAACCTCCAGTTTACAAACCACCAGTGTACAAGCCACCTATAGAGAAACCTCCAATTTACAAACCACCTGTTTATAAACCACCAGTTGAGAAACCTCCTGTGTACAAGCCACCTGTAGAAAAACCACCTGTGTACAAGCCTCCAGTTGAAAAACCACCTGTGTACAAGCCACCTGTAGAAAAACCACCAGTGTATAAGCCACCTGTCTACAAACCACCAGTTTATAAGCCACCAGTTGAAAAACCACCTGCCTACAAACCTCCAGTGGAGAAATCCCCCGTCTACAAGCCACCTGTATACAAGCCACCCGTCGAGAAGCCTCCAGTTTACAAGCCCCCGGTGGAAAAGCCACCTGTGTACAAGCCACCAGTATATAAGCCACCGGTTGAAAAACCTCCGGTTTACAAGCCACCTGTCTACAAACCCCCAGTTTATAAGCCACCAGTAGAGAAACCCCCCGTCTACAAGCCACCTGTGGAGAAACCTCCAATCTACAAGCCACCTGTAGAGAGGCCACCAATCTACAAACCACCTGTATACGAGCCTCCAGTTTATAAGCCACCTGTTGGGAAGCCACCGATCTACACGCCTCCATTCTAGAAGCGACCTCACAATCCAACAGATGATGTTACTCGTGTTTAGAAAATGGTATTAAGAATATATGTTAAATAAGAGAGATATTTAAAGTTTACAAAGCAAGGCTTATATATATTGTTGTAATCTTCATTTCAATCCTTTGTTTACAATGTTATTGCGAATACAAGAATGTGAGTGTAAAACGGAGAAGGAAATTGTGCTTCTGTTCTCCATATTATGAATAAGAATATTATGATTTAGATGTTTTTTGTGTTGCTTTAACAAACTGTGCTGATCAACATAAATCTTTAATGAAGTTGACTTCTTGTCATATTAGTACGTTGCATGAAAACTCAGTCTTCATTAGAGGCAAATATCCGTATAAGACAAATTGGAAGAAAATAAAGGTATTGTTGAGTACTAACTATTGTATAATAAGCGCACACATTTGACGACACCTTATTAGTTTTTCACATTTGATGATAAATTGACTTAAAACTATTGTATAATAAAACCTCCGACTTTATCAGAAAAAATATTTATTCGTGTTGATTTTACTCCGGACAAATTAGTCTCTCTTAACTCAACTATTAAATTTCGAAACAACTGCTCTTCCCAAATAAATTCCAAACTCATTGATTTTTCCATCTCTTCTGTTGTGAATTCAATGCCAATAACAAAGTATAGAATAAGGGAAGAATAAAGAACAAGGAAGAAGAAGAACACAAGAATTGGTTATAACTGCTATTCTTTACTTTCTCTTAGAAAACAAGATTACAAGTTTACAAGAATAACAAATAACCCTCTCACCCTAAATTAGGATTTGCTGTGATGCAATGATGAGAGACTAGTATGCTATTTATAATAAAGCCTAACATACTAACTAATGGGCTTTTTCCACAAGGCCCATTATACAAGCTAACTTAATAATCAAGCTAACTTAACAAATTAGGGTTTAAACACTAAAACCTAATTTAACAAGCATTCTTCGACAAATACATGCTTCGACTACAGCATGTACTTCGATCATGCTAGAGTTCGATCCAAAATCCCACATCTTCAACTTCGCCATCTTTTTTGCTTTGTGTTGAAGTTTAGAGAATGATGATTTTCATTTCTATTTTATTGAATATTCTTACAAGAATATACTAAAGAAGGGAAGACATTCTCTCCGATGATATTATTCTATATTGAGACCTCACCCATTCATTTTTTCTTACAAAAAGTAAATGTTAATTTTAAAGAAATTGAGTGGTGTAAATTATAATTGGACTCTCTCCAATCAAAACTTCACAGGAGAATCCCTCCCAATTAACAAAGTTTTTTTAAATGACCAGCTAACAATCCTAACTAATTTCTAACAGCAAATTAAAAGGAATCAATAACAGAAACAAAAACAGACAAAAATAAGGTGAAATGCACAACTTGATATTCTCCCTCAAGTATCACGTTGGTTAAAGATAAAATCTACAAAGGATTTTTTATGAGGGTCATCCCTCATCTTACAAATCTGTTTTCGTAGGGATGAGTTTAAAGAAGTGTCTTTGAAAGAGGATGAACTAGTTGGTCTTCTTTGAAATATCTGCCAACCATTTTCTTACCAACATCATAATTCAAGTCCATTGCACCATCTTATATTTTGGAATGGTTGTCACATACTCCCCGTCTCATATTATAAATAAATTTTACTTTTTTAAATTTATTGGATAATTAATATATTTGATCTATATACATAACAAATACACTAAATATTCAATGAATCAAAAAATTGAAAGTTGTTTATAATATAAGACATAGTAGTATTTAAAATTGAATTCCCTTCTATCAACATTTGTCGCATTCACAGTGTCAAACGATTTATAGCCGTTGGATTGAGATCGAATAAATCACATTTAATACAAATTTGAGTTTTAAAAATAATAAAAATACAGACTTTAACATCTGATTCTAGTGAATAAAAAGTCCACATATCTAACCTTATATAATCATCAATAATTCATTATCTTTTCTTAGAGATTAACAAACTCTATGGCAATAACTTTAGCCTTCTCTCTAAAAAATTGTTTGTAGAATAAAGTTCTTAAATGTCCAAATTTAAAATTAAATTAAGAGGAAAAGTAATATACAATGTGAACGCCTCATTAGTTAAAGAACTAGGAAAATACTTTATTTTTAAATACTTATTGTATGCCTATTCTCCAAACTTAAATTGATATTTCAATACATGTTTCATTGACGATTCCCATACCTCACCATTAGTGAATCTAGTAATTCAGTTTGCAAGACACGTTTATGTTCAAGACACTTTTTACTACTTTCTTGGTGTATTGTCCACACTCACTAGTGCATAAATAGGAATTTACACCCATTTTTTATACATTTTACACCTGTTATTAGAGGGTGTAAATTCAAAAGGTGAGAAATGTAAAATAAATTTACATCCGTATTAAAATGAGTGTAAATAGAGAGTATATTACACACTTTTTTAGAGAAAATGGGTGTAAATTATTATTACATATATACATTTAAATCAAACGAATTTACACCATTTGATAAAAATTGGATGTAAAATAAATAATATTTATTATGAATTTCAACAAATTTACACCTTATTTTCTATACATAGAGTGTAAAAATATAGTACATTACACCCTATTTTAATTATCAATGGTGTAAAATATTTTATAATTATATTATAGTTAATTTCATTTCGATCCTGTGACTGGTTACAAACAGAGTGTAACCGGTTACACTCAAAAAAACTTTGAATTTTTTTTAAGGTTATAGGCATGGAGGCTTAGATCATACATTAAAAACATACTAGACATATCATACAAGGCAAACATATACACAAAATAACAATGTAAACACAAAATAACAATGTAAACATGATGAACATCAAATATTTGTTAACTGTCATACCCCAAATTTTGACCTAAGATACCACCTCTCATCTGCATTATTACATAACAAGCGTTCACAAGCGATTCGACCTATTTTTGCCAATTCTCGAGTCGGATTTCAAAAATTCATAACTTCTTCAAATTTCGACAATTTTTTAGTGGTTCTTTTACATATGATTCTCCTTTGCAACAACTACAACTTTTCTTTACAAGTCAAGAGATGATTATGCTTTGAAAATCCACCAAAAAATAGAAACATTAGAAATCATTGTAAATTTAGTGAAATTTAACTGGTTTTGCCTGACTTTATTAAATCATGTATTTTTACACTTTTACTCGTCATTCTTTTATTCTTATTTTCATAAAAAAGAAAATCCAAAAAAACATATTTAGCTCATATCAGTTTTACTTTATATAAAAAAATTATTATAGTTTTGTTAGTTTCATTTAATTTTATATTTTTATTAATAATTCGGAAAATCTCAAAATACATATAAGTTCTTTTACTTTTTTGCATTTTTAGAGTATGTAAGTCTATTTTGTTCTTAGTTGTAGTTTTACTTATTTAATTCGAAAATATGAAAATATATGGTTTAATTTTATTTTTATTCCCTCTATTATTAATTTTGATTATAATTCCATTTGAAATGTTTTTAGGTTGAATTATTAATAGAATTAAAACCAATTTAATATCTCTTTTCTTTCACTTTTATATTTTCAGTTTAGTTTTACTAACATTTTATTGTATTATTTGTGTCATTAATATTATTATTAGTATTATAATTATTATGCTATGTCCATATAAGTCTGAATATGCTGCAAAAATCTGTCCTTATGCTGCAATAACCTGCACAAATAATGCCAAGAAAAACAGTCAAATAACCTCTGCTGCCCTATTATAAGACAAGCATATCAGTCCAGAAATTACATCAAAAATAACAAATTAAAAAGCTGAATCAAAAAGTGACAAAGTATAACACCAATTTTGTTCAAATCCTACTGTTATTTCCCCCCTCAAATTGCAGGGGTCTTTACTATATAAGAGGGATTTTAGAAACAATGAAAGGAGTCCACGAATATTAGAGAAAAATTACTAATAAAAAAATAAGAAAGCATTAGGAGATCATTTTCAGATAGAATACCAACAACAACAAAGCAAAAACTCAGACGCAATGATCAAAGGCATTCATCCGCAACATACAACAAGTGAGAGGAATTGATTTTCAGAAAATAAAGAGAGTGTCAACCGGTTACACTCAAAAAAAACTTTGAATTTTTTTTAAGGTTATAGGCATGGAGGCTTAGATCATACATTAAAAACATACTAGACATATCATACAAGGCAAACATATACACAAAATAACAATGTAAACACAAAATAACAATGTAAACATGATGAACATCAAATATTTGTTAACTGTCATACCCCAAATTTTGACCTAAGATACCACCTCCCATCTGCATTATTACATAGCAAGCGTTCACAAGCGATTCGACCTATTTTTGCCAATTCTCGAGTCGGATTTCAAAAATTCATAACTTCTTCAAATTTCGACAATTTTTTAGTGGTTCTTTTACATATGATTCTCCTTTGCAACAACTACAACTTTTCTTTACAAGTCAAGAGATGATTATGCTTTGAAAATCCACCAAAAAATAGAAACATTAGAAATCATTGTGAATTTAGTGAAATTTAACTGGTTTTGCCTGACTTTATTAAATCATGTATTTTTACACTTTTACTCGTCATTCTTTTATTCTTATTTTCATAAAAAAGAAAATCCAAAAAAACATATTTAACTCATATCAGTTTTACTTTATATAAAAAAATTATTATAGTTTTGTTAGTTTCATTTAATTTTATATTTTTATTAATAATTCGGAAAATCTCAAAATACATATAAGTTCTTTTACTTTTTTGCATTTTTAGAGTATGTAAGTCTATTTTGTTCTTAGTTGTAGTTTTACTTATTTAATTCGAAAATATGAAAATATATGGTTTAATTTTATTTTTATTCCCTCTATTATTAATTTTGATTATAATTCCATTTGAAATGTTTTTAGGTTGAATTATTAATAGAATTAAAACCAATTTTAATATCTCTTTTCTTTCACTTTTGT